ACTTCTGCCTTTATTTAGCCTCATTATTTCTGCTTTTACTAAATGAGTGTATCTAGTACTCTCCCTTCTTCCTTGCACACTCCTCCGTGCCTATGGATAGCCAGAGTCTAACAGGTACAGCTGGGTTTGTGATGGTGCCCCGTCCCTTGTTCCCTGCTGTTACCACTTACCGCTAGTCGTTAACTTCTTCCTCAATTTTTCTCTGTTGGCTGATCTTGAGCACTGGAACTCAGGAGCAATAAAATGGAAGTAAGAAAAAGGAAGTTTGGACTCTGAAATAAAGGAAAGGTTTAACACTGGTCGCTCTGAAAGGCAGTAAAATGGCATGTCAGGAGAAAGAACAGAGGTTTGGTTGCTGAACACACACAAAACGAGCCTGGACGCAGCATGCTGTCATCAAACCTTTGACTCTTAAAAACACGGAGGGGTGGTTTCACCCCCATCTTCTCACCTGCCTAATAAAAGAAATGTCTGTGTGCTAGTGGATGATGATGAAACAGATTTAAATTACCACCGATCCTATAATAACACAAAACATATGGAGTAAATTTCAGTTTGGGCTTTAAAAATAAAGCAGTGACAAATATTAAGAGATGTTTTTACTTTTAGAAATGCACAGAACTTGGAATGCACAGAAAATACACAGGTTCATAACAAGCTGAAATTGTAGGGAAGTCTGTGTGTGCAGTTTGAAGTGTAAGTTCCATCAGTGTGACTGGGTTTCACGTTAAGCTGAGGTGATTGACAGCAGACGAGGAGACCCTTTTCTAAAGGCTTCTTCCTCTCAGCGTTGTGGGAGAGAGTGGGACGTGGAAATGGCCATGTCTGCAAACAGACCAGTGCAGCTGCTAATGCAGAGGCACCTAGACTTCCAAGCTAATGATCAGGTTTGGGATAGAGAAGAACAGCCCCCTGTTAGCTTGTAGCCAAAATGATAAAGGCTGGAAACAGCTGAATTCAACATTAATTTTTTTCTGGAAATAAGTGGACAGCAAGATGCACCAGTTGATTTAGCCAACACCATCAGCTTTAGACAGTGCTTTTCACTCATGTTGGCAGTAAATACTGCAGAACTGGGGCGGCAGTGACCACCTTTAGTGATTTGTAAGGACAGTAACACTTTGATGGTTCGCGTTGCACTACAAAGCAGTTTGGTTCTTTGCCGTGATGTTGGTCACAAATTAAAGGGCACATCTGTGTGGAGCCATCCATACGACACATTTCGGTGAGTTCTGCATGCAGTGAAGCAGGGTTTCCCATGGAGGTGTCTTATGGTGATAGGCTGCTTTTTTTTAAACTTCATTAGACCAAAATAGAAAGCAAAGGCAGGAGACACACCTTGACTGAGGAACGTATTCTTCGGTGGCTAATAAGGTCTGATTAAGATTTTATTGCTTTAGAGCATTTGTAGCATCCCCCTCCTATGTGGTTTCTCTGTCTAATGAAAGACGAGCTCACACTGCAGGCTTTTTCCTCAATAGGGAAATAATAAGGTATCTCATAGCTACACAACTGCCTATTCTTTCAAAACTACCTGGAAGTGGATGTGTTTGAGACCTTGTTCCCATTGCTAAAGCATATGGGGGAAACAGGTTGTCAATAATAGTAAGCTCTTCGCTTCCAAGAAGTGGGATACCCAGGTAAAGAACTGAAGGATGCAGGGTCTCCTACTGAAGGGTTCTCAAGCACAATCTGACTGGCAGCTTTTTCTTCTCCTGTGTAAAGGGTTTTCTGTAATGTAGCTCAATCTTTCCTATATGGGCATTTTCTTGAGGATTATTCCAAGGCAGCCAAAATGGAAACAGACAATAGCCTCTCCTCTGCACTCTGCTTGCCAGTTGTATTTGTCTTGGTCTTCTGTAACAAAACCCTGGTTAGTCTACACGTGCTTGTAAAACAGCAGAGATGCTGCTGTATTTGGAGTCATCCTAAGCAAAGAGCACATGTAGCTGTGTACGCACTGCTAACTAAATGTCCTTTCACCAAGGAGGGAATGCCATCCTCTGGGAACCACTGGGGGGGAGTTGCCCGACATCGGCGCGTCGTCGCCTTCTCCTTCCACTGCTGATGCTGAACCTCGGCCAGGTGCAGAGGGGCTGCAGGAGACGTGATTTCGTGGACCTTTCGCTCAGTAGCATAGCAACTGCCATCGCATCCCACTGATCTGTCCCCTCTGCTTGGCTCCCTCAGCTGTGCCAGATCAGGAACTGAACCAACTTTAAAAACAGCCCTGAAAAACAGGAGAAGTTGTGGGAGGATTTATTTTTAATTGGGATCTCTCTGTTCTCTGAACCAGCTCTCTGCACGGCCCTCGGGACTGGTGTAACCAGGGAGCGCCTGGGGCAGCGGTGGGACAAGGAGTGGGGAAGAGGAAGGGAGGGGAGGAGAACTGGGAGAAACATCTGCCGATTCTTGGCTTCAGGGTTCAAGCACAAATCCAAGGGCAGCCCTTTGAATGCTTTCAGCCCAACTGCTGGTGGGGTACAGCTTCAGTAATGATCTGCACACAGAGGAGTAATCAGTAATTAGTACTAAAGTCCTTTCAGTTTCACTCGATTGACCAGGGGAAGGGAAAGGGACAAGTCGAATTCAAGCAAGAGGATGGAATTTTTTTTGAAATCTGTGCTCCAACGCTACTCCTAATGATTCCAGGAGCTGGCGTGCAGCATCTTCGGCGTAGCACAGTGGCACGCGCGGGCCAGCGAGTGTTGTGCTTCTATGACAACAGCCCCACGTTCTGTGCAAGTACCATTTGATCTTATTTTCTGCATTGTGCTTCTAACAAAGCTGCTCTAGCTGGCCACATTCTGTAATTGCTTTTTTAACTGAGATCTGAAAGTCACATTTGTAGCCAGGTACACTTTTGATTATAGCAATCTAAGGGGGTTAATAGAAGCTGCAGTGTTTCATTTAAAAGATCAGCTTGGAGTGTGAGGATGGATTCTGTGAAGGCAGGGGTAGGAAGAAGATATTGATTCCTGTATGATTAGTGGAATGTTCCTTTGTTAAAGGTCTGCCTCTGAATCTTTAAATGACCAGGCTTCTAGTGATGAGGGCATCACACTTTTTTTCAAGCCTCTGTGAGTAGAATGGAGTAGTAGAGGTTTTAAATTTTCTTCTTTAGTAAGTGCACGTCTTCTCAGAGGCATTTGTGGAAGTTATGTGTAAGAAATAAATTACTCGGAGAACTTCCTACTGCCTTCCAGCTCGGTGATGGTACTAATCAACTAATCATCCAGATGCATGATTTTTGCAGCTGAGATGTCTAACATTTGACTGAGGCAGTGAGTGCATTGGCCTCTGTGTGTGTAAGTCAGCTGGATGTCGAATTCTTCATTTTAGAAATTCCTGTTAAGAGCCACAAGGCATGAGTAGAAGAGCCCTTTTCTGATACACTGGTGAGAAGAAAATTTGCACTTGGGTTTTCTGGATGCTTGCAAAGGACTGGACTCTTACTGAACAGCAGCTGAAGTTCAGAAGAGTGTGTATCAGAATTGTGTTGTATCCTACAGAGAATCACTTGTGGGAAGATTTTACTGTGTTCAGTGCAGCTGTTGACTGTTGAGCTACGGATAAAGTTCTTCAGAAACTGGCCTTGTTAATGCAGCCTGTGAAGGAAATGTCTGCTGCACCAGCCCTTTTCTGTGTGAGAAAGCTGCACGTGTTTAGTCGGAGATTAACTTCAGTAAAACAGGCATGACGGTTTAAACTGGGTTGGGTTTGGTTTGTTTCTCCTCTGTTGGGAATTTAAGTTAGATTGCCATCCCAATTTAAATTGCCTTTGGACAGCATTTTGGTTTAAAGCTGTTTAACTACAGAGAGTTTTGACCTGTTTGTTTTGGTTTTTTGAGAGGGAGTGAAGCCCTGTGTGCAGGTGAGACCTGCTGAGAAGGAAAGTATTTGGGCACATGATGAGAATGGACACTGATGGGAGTTTTGTTCCCAAAGATGCCCATGAATCTGAGTTGAGGGGAAAATTGACTTATTTCTTTGGATGTGTGTAGTTGTCTGCTGCTCTGTACAAACAGATGAAAAGGCAAGGGCTTGCCTTCTCCCACAGAGTGTCTGAGCTGCATATGTTAAAGCAGCCAGGGCCGCTCTGTGAGTTCCATCCACCTTGATATTTCAGACTCTGCAGTTGTTTTGGTTTCTGAATCCAGTTCAGGGTCACAAGGGAAGGAGGGATCTCTGAGGCTGCATCTTCCCCTCTCTCCACCCCACTAACGCCCTCAACTCTCACCTCCCCATAATCAAAAGGGATAATTTACCTGTTAGGAATGCTGCCTGCAGCCCCACTGAGCCCTCGTGTTTTTTGCAGGTCTTGTTTATTTTAATTGCAGTCTTGAGAGTCAATAGATGTTGGATGAATTTTAAGTTTTCAGCTGAAATTCCTGGTGTTTTGTCTTTTCCCATTGTGTGTTTGGTGGTTTGTTTGGTTGGTTTTTTTTTTTTGTTTGTTTGTTTTCCCCCTCCTGCCTGTGAATGTTGAGGACGGGACTTTTCTAAGTTGGTGATGCATGTGCTAGAAATGCAGATTTTCCCTAGTAGTCACAAAAGGAATGATTTAGGTTTACTTGCCTTGGAGGCTGCTTAATGAATTGAATTATTTGGCTGCACTGTCAAAGATTTTAGTTCTTGGTTGCAGTACTCCAGTTTATTGGAGCAACAGAAGTGGCACCCTGCCACAGGAGTAAAGAATGCTGTTTCCCCACTAGTATTTGAACAATCTGCAACAGCCATCTGTTATTCTTTTCAACACAAAGCAGTGCAACAGGTGTATTTCTTGGGTTTGGAAATCTTACCGCTACAAGTGATTAATAGCAATTGAAAGCCAGGATTTAAAAGAAGATTTCAAGGTGTGTTCCTCTTTTTTTCAGCAGATACAGTGGTTATGATACTAGGAAGAAGAGAGATAAGCTAAACATATGGTACACAGTTAAGAAAACAAATGCTGAACTGCTCTTAAATGTGTTCATTTTCAATGTTTGTCGTTTTCTTAGATGGCTTCAGTAACAGATGCCAGATACAGGCAGAAAGATACTTCAGATCAAAATTTTGATTACATGTTCAAACTCCTGATCATTGGCAACAGCAGCGTGGGCAAAACATCCTTCCTCTTCAGATACGCGGATGACACGTTCACACCAGCCTTTGTCAGCACCGTAGGAATTGACTTCAAAGTGAAAACAGTTTATAGGAATGACAAGCGGGTGAAACTGCAGATTTGGGTAAGTGCCACTGCTTTCAAAAATGCTTTATATTAATCCCAGCAAAGATATGGTGGTAAAAATAGCTTGTTTGAAAGTAGATTTTTGAATTAGTATGGATTTTGGTTGTTCCTAAGTGTTGTGTGGCTGTATGATTTGTATCCCTGGAGTATGGCTGAGTAAGGTCTCTTGGTATTGCTGCCTCACTCACCTGGTGGAACTCCTGGTTTGGTCTTAAGCCGCTGCTGAGCATTCTCAGGATTCAGTGTATCAATAAACAGCAACAAACCCAAAGGGAGCCCTTTAGTAGCGCTTTTTGAGTGAACACGGCTAGGTGAAGAAATTCAGTGGGCGCTTAATGCGTGAACTCTAGGTATAGTATCTACTATGAGCTTACATCCTCCAAATGAGATACTTGTATCTTCCTGCAACTCATCTGCCTGCGCAGCAGCGCCAAGCCAGCTCGCTTCATCCATCCAGGATTCCTCAGCGGGAAGACGGGTATGCTTCAAACCCTCTCCTCTCCCAGGACTTCTGGGTAGCTCAGATGGGAAGAGAACATGTGCAGGTAAGCTGGAGGGCTCCCTCTGCTCAAATATCCACCCATGGGAGCAGGCTTTTTGAATTACAGCATCCTAGCCCAGTCAAAAAAACCCAGAAAAGTTCCTGACCTGCAAGCAGTTGTGTCAGTAGCTTATGATGTTCCATTTTATGGAAAGCAAGTGGTTTCTTTTATTCTACTTGCTGGCTAATGACTTAAATCCTACAGTGCGAAGGCAATTTATCCTGATGGTACTTAAGCCCTCTGTGTCCCAGTGAATTACTGAGTATGTTCAAAAAAGGAGGCTCAGGTTGCTGTGTTTTCAAGTCCCGTGGGGCTCCAGCTGGAATTCTAGTTTGCAAGATTCTTCTCTTCTGCTTTACATAAAAAGAAAAGATCTCAAGTGGAAGATAGGCTAATATTCTCTTAGCTCACTAATGCTAAGTAACTGTTTATTTGGTTTCTCCCACAAGTTTAAGCTTAAAGTTCAGTCTTGAAGATGGGTTGAAACTGTGTAGTGTTTCTACCCAAACGCTGCCCCAGCCACGAGCGTAGTCTTCTGACTGATCTATATACACCTGATTTACAATTAATCTTTAATTATTGCATTTAAATGTAATATTATAGAAATCACATTGTGTTTTTTAAATTTATTGTGATGATCTTGAGTAGTCACAATAAAATAGAATCTAAAATGAGGACTTTTTTTTTTATTACTGCAACAATATGATTAATTTTAGTTTTTTGTTGTTGGGTACAAGGCACAACAAATAATTTAAGAAAAGATCCTGTTCACGCTCCAGAATTCTGGCATTGAACCTGATGTAGATAACCTGGCATGGAACTGTGTGACTTAATTTAGGGTTTAGGTAGTAATATTTGGTCTTCAGGCCCCACATGAGCAACTAAAGGCTATTTCCATCCAGTCTGTCTTTCTTTAATCTCAGGACATGACATTCACTAATCAGTTCTGTAAAAGCAAGGCAGGCAGCACCGTGACGTATCTGGTGGTTTTGCAAAGATACTGGGATTAGAATGAATTAAGCAATAATTTTAATTAAGTCTGTTTGAAGGCTTTTTTTTGTGGGGGAAGGATTTAATAACCTTAAAGCTCTTACGGAAAGAGATGTCAGGTGGGTTCCTCAGAGGGTGCTGTCTATAGGACCTGTAATATTGGAGTTACCAACAACATTGATTTAATATTTATTTTCAATAAAAGGTTCATGTAAGTGTTCGACAATTTTCAGAGTGACTTCTGCTCTTTTCTTCTCTCTTTCTGTGCTGCTTGTATGAATCCCTGATGTGAGTCATGATTTAAGGACTTTAACAAAAACTTTACCTGCATACCTATAAAACCCACAGTATTTGAACTGGTTTACCTCCTGCCTGTCCTGAGACTACACGTGTAATTTCAGTGTGTTCTTCAGGGTACATGTGGTAGTAGTGGGCGCCATTAATACACCAAAGCTACGCGTTCCTCTGTGCAGGAAGCAAGAGTTTTCTTACCCACCTGTTTTCCAATTATTTTTTGGCATGATTTATGGCTGCTGTTGGGTTTCTGTGAGCGTGCAACCCCGCGGCTCCATTGAAATTTGCTTTTACTTACAGCTTTCCAGTTATGTTGACTTTTTTTTTTTTTAAATTACACTCCCACTAAGCCTGATGTTAAGTCTTACCTGAATGAGGTTTAATGTGAAACTAAGTGAAGAAGGAGAAAGTACAAGTGTTTAAATAAACCACTTCAAATGTCCTTGTAAAATCCAGAGAGGAGCACTTCTAGGAACGTCTAATGTTTTCTGCTCCACGGAGCCAGGACTCTTTTTCCGTTGCTGGCTGCTTGTGCTGTGAAGTGCAGGCAGCTGTGGCAGACCGGAGGTTCTGAGGGACTGTGCAAAAATAACCTTGCCTTGTGTCCTACGCCTCGCAAAGCCAGGGGGAAGTTACCTACCGCCGTGCTGTGATCCAGCGAGATCAGGGGGACTTTCCGCGTCGCCTTTTGCCCCTGTTGAACAGAAGAGCAGAATATTTGGGTGTGCGGCCCCAGCTACAAAGAGCTCCTTGGGTTTTCTTAAAGCTGAGAAAAGCTCCCACTGCTTCAAGCGCCAAGCCGCTGCACGTAAAGACCGACAGCGTGTCGCCTTGTCGGCAAATGTCCTTCTGGCCTGTCTGGTGGTTAAAATCTCCAGTAGATATTGCTGAGTGGTTTTAGGCTAGAGAGGTAGCTTTTGCGTTTGTGCTGATTTTGAGGAAGTCCCTATTTTGTGAATCAGGATTTGACAAGCTGTCCCATGTAATGATCAAAGAAGTGCTGTTCTGTTTAATTTTGATGTCGTTAGTGGGCCTCTTCCTTTGCTGACAGTAACACCTCAATCACCCAAATTGGTATTTTAATAAGAGTCCTGTCGGTTGTGCTAGTGACCTAGTCTGGGAAATGATCTGCTTTGAAAAGACTTGAATGGAGAATCTCTTGACTTTGAGAGAAATGGGACATGGTGAAGATATTCAGAGTGTTTTTAAGGTAGAATGATATCTCTGCTGCTAGAAAACAAAACAGTAAAATGGTCTGGAGAGGGGTTATGTGAAATAATGTTTTGTATGTCGTTTTGGTTTTCTTTTCCTTAAAGAACTCCAAGATCTGTGTTCTAATTTCAAGTATTTTCTGTTTTGTTTAGGAATGGTGGCTTCATGTAAATAGAATAAATGACCTTTACTGAGAAAGTTAATTTTGTAGTTGGATGAGGTTTGGCAATTTAAACATTTCTAACTTAAAGCATTACTTATGTAAATGTATTAATATATTGTGTAGATATTCTAATATCTACATAAATTCAATTCTTGGATTAGAATTGGCTTATGCCACTGCCATCTGTAATAATAGTTTCATGTAAAGCATCTCCTTTATGATATATTTGTAAGGAGCCAATTTATAATATCTCTCTTCATTTGGGGTTACATGTGCATTGTTTCTTGTAGAGCAACAGTTTTCTATTATCGGAGCTGCTAATTACTGATTACGGAAGGAAAGCTTTTATGTTTTCAGTTAGGTATGGTGTTTTATTATAAATAAATCTCAAAGGTAACATTATTATATTTTTAGCAAATGCATACAGTTAATACTCAATGCAGCGTTCAGGTTGCCTAGCAGCGAGAGAGGCCACTTCGTCCGGATCCAGACGGAAGCAGGGTGAATGAATAAAAGCGATTTGAGTTTTAGGGGAGAGCAATGTGAGATTGCTTCTTTTTTTTTTCCTTTTTCTGTGCGTTGGTGTGTCTGCTGTTGGTACGTAATAACAACAGCAGAACTCTTGACCAACGTAGCAGAGGCTGATCGCTGAGGGACAAACTCTGGTCCTTCATGCTGGCCTAGTCTAGGTTAATTCCATGAGCTCTTTGGATAGTAACACGAATTCACTGATGGAAAAATCATGGGCAGTGTTTATCCCAAAACACTTGCACATCACAACACTTTGCACACCACACAATTTGTGCTTTGTGTAGGAATTTCCATTCTACTTTTGTAGAGCAGCCTACACAATGGAGTCTCATTTTTGTTGCACATACTACACGTAACACAAACATACATGTGATTAATAACAAACATAACTAAACACAGGGGTTGGCAGCTGCTGTTATGGTCAAAACTCTTTTCAGCCCCCTTTTTAAAAGACAAATAGAGGTTAAGTTTAAGTTCAGCTTAAAAAGCAAAAAGGATGTGATGTTCAGATGCAGACAGCATATTCAGACTGCAGTGTGATTTTTATTTTAAAGTGCTGCTTACCAGATTTAAACTGCTAGGGTGAGTATAGCTTGCTTCTTTCCCATTAACAAAAATGTTTCCATGGCTTAACTCCTGAAGCTTGTAGCGGTCTGAGATTAGCTGGAATGGATGTCTGAAACACGTGCTACAGCTTTCAGGCACAGCTGGGAAGAGGGTGCAAAGCAGCATCGCTCTGCTTCCGTGGGGAGGATCTTTACAAACAGAAATATGACAACTGCTAATTATGCTGAGTGGCAGTTACCATTGCAATACATAAAAGTGTAAACTGACATAAAACCCAAGCTGCCCAGCTGTCCATAAGGCAAATATGCAGTGTTTTTAAAAGCTTGCTGTATCAGTTGTCGCTGGGATGACGGGGTGTTGCTCTGCAGCTCGCCTCACAGGGGAGGGATTCAAAGAAGTAACACTGGTAACTAAGTTCTTTTTTTTTTTTTAATTTAAAGGAGGTAAAATTAGAACACCATCACACTTGATTGTAAATTTCAATGCTAATTGCACACTTATCCAAAAGCTAATTATGCATTTCAGATGAGAGAATCATCTATTCCCCTGGCATCCCGTTCCCATCGTGTTTTTGCTAAGTTCATTACAAGCACTGAGTTTAAACTTGAATGCTTGCAGAAAACTTGTTTCTAAAAAAAGAGATAACGAGTTCTGTAATTTAATATATAGATGCGATAGTGATGGATGTCTCTAAAGATC